CCCCTTCAGCCGGTAAACGGTGAGGCGCGGCTTCTTGGAGGGCCTGATTCTGTGGCGCTTCTGTTTGGTGAGCTTCAGCTTGAGCTTGAGCTTGAGCTTGAGCTTGAGCCGGTTGGTGAGGATGGCTCGGCTCCACCGGCTCCTCCCCTTGGCCGTGGCGGCTAGCACTCTGTCCGCGGCTTCGCGCACGGCTTTGGCTCGGCGCGGAACTCTGGCTAAGGCTTGGCGCAGCTTGGAGGAGTAGATTTGTTGCTGCGCTTGCGATTTCCACTTGCTCTGTTCCTCTTGCTGTTGCTGTTGATGTTGCTGTTGCACTTTCTTCTTTCTCCGTCTCTTGCTGTCACGTGACCGCTCCGTGTTGGTGTTGGTGTTGGTGTTGGTGTTGGTCATGAGCATGCGTGATGGTGGTGATGCCATTTCAACAACCGTAGATTGAGATTCTGCCCTGAGAGAGAGAAGGAGGTTGAAAGAGCATTAGAGTCTAGAGAGAGAGTGTGTGTGTGTGAGGGATTCTTTTTTATTTTATTTTTCTTTTAATAAAAACAATGAAGGTTCTGAGATAGTGGAAGGGAAAGAAGAGAACGGAACGGGGAGGGTGAAACGGTGGAGAAGACATATAAAGGGTTTACAATACCCATAGCCATAGAGACTAGAGAGAGACTGCAATGCAACACCACGCGTCCTTTTCTTTTTCTTTTTTTATTTTATTTATGTTACTGTTACTGTTACTGTGTTGTTGGGCCGATCACATATTTACTGGACTGCCTTCAACTTTTGGCACTTGTCTCTAATTAAAGCCCAGCCAGCCTGTAAACCCTTTTCCCATAAATCATAAATCATAAATCAAATATATCACACACAGGTGACGTTTTCCTCTTTATACAAATTATTAGTTTTTTTTTAAATAAAAAATGCTATATCTTTCGACTCAATGTATCAAAACTTGTTTCAAATTATTAAAAAACTGATTTAAACAATAAAATATTAAATTAAATAATTATTTTATAATGAATTTATTAAAAAATATTAATAAATTACAAACTTTGAGAACTGCCTAAAGTGTAACCATGTTGCTAAAAATAGAGATTTTTGAACTTAGAGAATTATTAATGAAAGCTTAAAACTTAACGTTTATGGTCACATAGATGATGGTAGAGAAAAAAACCTTGTTTTAAGTTTGTAAGAATATTTGATTAGAATTTGATAGAAGATTCCTTATTCAAATAAAAAGGAAATTGCTAAAATTTCCATACCTCATCTAAGAGTGAATAGTGAAAAATTTTAAGTGAAAAATTATTTTTTATCCTAAGACTAAACTTAACCTAAAATAATTAATATTTTAAATTAAAAAACTTCTATGTCAATAAAATTTATGAGGATTTGAATATTGAGATGATTTATTTTAATAATTAAAGTTAACAGTCTTTAAAAAATAATTAAAAATAAATATTATATAAATTTGGAGGACTATTTTTTTTTAAAGACTAAAATTATATAGAGTCCATTTTTTAAGGACTAAAAATATACTTAATCATATTTTTTACATGAAGTTGGATATCAACAATTAATTTTCTAAGAGAATAAGAGTTTGTACACTAATTAAGAATTTAAGGGGTAAATAAATTAAATTAAGTTACAAGTTGAAGCTTAAATTCGTTTTCTAAACAAATTATGATATTCAACTTTAAATTATTTATTTAAATAAGTCGAATTAAGTGTAAATTTGACATGTTTAAAAATATGAAACTTGAACTTAATTATATTAAGTCTTTTATATATTTTAATTGCTTTCTTTTCCGTTTAACAATTTTTTAAAAGTATTCTATGGTAAATTTTGTGTTGAAAGTAAAAGTGAGAGCAAAAAAAAAGTTCAAACATAAAAACCGTGGGCAATCTTTTGCTTGGCAACTAAGCCAATGAAAAAAGAGTTTGAATGCATCACAATTTTTTGACATATTGGGATAAAATTTTATGCCATCTGTTCTCGAACATGTCTAACACATCGTTGAAGATAATAGCATAAAAAATCCAGCAAGATTGAGAGCGAAAGGACCAATCTTGAAGATGGTAAAGGTGGTCCATTGAGACATTTTCTGTACAATAGTGAGACGTGCATATAAAAGGAGGCAAAGGGGTTCGAAGATTTAGGAAATCTTTCGGACATGAATAACATTTCCAATCACACAAATTTCAAACATGGGTTGATAATTTTAGTTTACCCAGATGAACTTGTGAATTTGTAGTAAATAATACGCAATTTTTTCTTTAAGAGTAGACATTTGTATTGATTTAGTGCCTAAAAATTTATGTGTATATAATTTAGTATTTAAATTTCTTTAACTTTACAATGATTTCAGTTCTTTATTTTAGTCTATTTCTACGATGAAAAGACTAATTTATCATAAAATTGATAAGAATGAAATTGTGGGGACCTATATTTGATTCCTACATAATATATTATTATGTATCCAGGAGAGATGAAGAGTTTTAAATATAACCAAGACTTGTATCTTATAACCGACTCAAAGAGTCAAAATTTGTAAAGATACTTCTTAATATCATCCATTGGGAAGGAAAAAAAAAACTAAAATAAAAATAAAATGATAAAAGCCATTTTTATTTTTACTTTTTTATGTTTAATAACGCCGATAAATCAGTGATAGACTTCCATTATAATGAGAATAGGTAAATATACTTCTTAACTTTAATTAAATTATTAATATATATTTAAAAACATTATATTTGTATATTTGATTTTATATATTAAATTCACCGATGATTATTGTTAACATTTATATTTTGTTATTTGTATATGTGATGATGATAATATTTTTTTTTTAACTATCTCCACTAATTTAGAATTTTGATATGTTATAATCGATAATTATATAAATTAATAAAATTATTAAATGAAGTTTTTTTTTAAATCGACATTAAATTAAAATTGAATTTAATTAATATTTTTAACTACTTGTTTTCAAACATGACATATGATTTCTACCAAAAAAAATATTAATTCTACCAAAAAAAAATCACATATGATTGTCTACTGAATAATAAGTTACAGAAAGAAATAGAAATTATGTAAAAACTTTAAATTTATGTTATTATAGGATAATACTCTGGTCCAAGTTAGAGACAATGCAAATTTTTTAAAACAAAATATTAAGTTTGAGTATAAAAACAAAAACTATACAAACTTTATCTCATTAAGCAAGTTCATTCAACTTAATTTAGATTAATTAGGATTTAATATAACTTCTGAGTGTGTCTGAAAATACGCTTAGGATTTAATAGAGTGTATACACTTATGAAACTTAAGTTAGTGTCATTCATCAGAAAAAAAAATTATATACTAGTTTGACTAAAATAAATTTATTTAACATGAGATATTGTTCAAAAAGTTTATAAATTATTTTTATAAACTAATTGAAGTAATTAAAAACTTATAAACCTTAAAAATTAATTTATTTATATTCTATTTTTACCTTTTTTTTTAATTTACAAAGTCTTTTATCTATCTTTTCATTTTTTTTATTCTCTCATTATAAAATTCATTTTATGTTTAGTCTTATCATATGTTTTTAATTCAATAAATAAATTTTATTTTTTTTACTTTTTATCTCCTGATTTATAGTTTACGAGTTTTTAACTAGCTTAATTATAAGTTAAATAGATCCTAAAGGAATCATGTCAAAATATTTTTCATTTATTTGTTGCTTCTTTGTCAGAAGAATTTAATCATAAAATTAGCATAAGATGTATTTTTTATATATAATAATAATAGATCCTAAAGGAATTATGTCAAAAAATATTTTTCATTTATTTGTTGCTTCTTTGTCAAAACAATTTAAACATAAAATTTACATAAGATGTATTTTTTTATACTAAAACAAATTAAAATATTTGTAACATTACAGTGTTTATATATTGTACTTAATTGGTTTTGGAAGGGACAATGTTTGATCTAATATCATCATCTCTCTTATTTTATCATCTATCCATTTTATAGTTCCATTTTAAAAATTTTTTATCTAATATATCTAATGTAATTTAAAATGGTTTGAATTTAATATATTTTTATGGGTTAGTAAAAAGACTTTGATTATTGTTTTTTATTAGTAAAGTGAAATTTATCATATAAAATAAGATGGACTATAGCCTAATATGTGACAATGGGTAAATAATAAACTTTGAAATAAATAATAAATATAATAAAAACAATTTAAGCTATCAAATTTATCATTTATATATCGACTGCTACGTACAGTCTATAATTAATATAAATTTATCTGAGATTAAAAATACAAAAAATAAAAAATAAAAAATAAAAAATACTAAAGTCACAACCAACATTTTTGTAGTCACAAATAAACGTCTTTACCCTAGTTTTTATTTATTTTGTTAGTAAGGCATATTTTATCATATTTTTTCTTTTACAGATTTCTTAAAAAAAATCAATTTAAAATAAAAAATATATATAATTAAAAAAATGAAATACATACTAATAATTTTCAAACTAATTCGTGACTATACAGAGTCGTTAAATTAGTGTGTGGCCATAACCTTTTTTTTTTATAAAAAAATAATAAGATCCAATCAATAATAAAAAAAATACAAAAATTACATACAACTCTTTTATGTACTTTTAGTGTTTTTTTTTTAAATTAAAAGTTTTGCTTTCAAATAATTCTTTAATACATATTTTGATTATGCTAATTATTGAGATAAAAATATAATGTTGATTGTAAAAAAATATTAACCATACTTAAAAGATAATATAAAATTGTATATAAGTTATATATATATATATATATATATTTATTTATTTAAAAAATTGTTACTTAATATGTTACTGTAGCATGCGAATAGTTTACTAGAGCTAGTATCACACATCCTTTAACACGTTATTTAAATTTAAATTAAACTTTATATTAGATCGAAATTCATTAAAAATTACATTCATTAACTCAATAAAATTTATTAGGTAATTCAAAAGTATATCACATGTCTCTCAACCTGACCAACTTCTATATAACAAGTATTCAAAAATTCCAATTTATCAGACAGAATTAATAATACTTATTACATATCATGTAAAAATTAATGCAAATCATAATAGTCTCAAACCACTTAATTATTCTCTTGTACCGGAACATGTAAATTAGGCTATAGTAATTTGCTTATTTCTACTTGTAATCGTAATGTTCTAATAAATAAATTCATAAAACCAATTCAGCTTAATTCAAAAGTTTTTTTTAATATTTTTATTAGAGCTTGATTGTATTTTTAATAACTTCCATTTAGACTATTTATACACTTATTTTTTTACGAAATTAATTTTCATAGAACTTGAATCACATGTTTTTTTCCCTCTAAACTATACTTTTAAAATTTTATTTAGAAAATTGAAATCCGATTTCATTCGGATAAACGAATGTGTCCTTTTAACATGGCGAATAGTGATATATAGTTTATTTAATATACCCAAGCCAAGCCTTTGCATATCCCACGGATCTAACTTTGGTGTTGCAAGTACACAATATCAATCAACGCGATTGCTATCCAAAACTATAGTTATTTCCGAGAGTTTTCGAGTACATTGGTTTCATGATATGTGAGCATTGAGCAACTGGATCCGCATTGGATGGCGCTGCATCTTCATTCTTCATGTTGACTGAAGAAGAAGAATAAGACCCCACGATTCATTTATTTTCATTCTGTGCAATCATTCTTCATCCATTAACATTAACAATAAACAAAA